TTGGTTACATACCTGACGTGTACAACAGCTTTTACCAGTGGCGCCAATACCTACACCATCAGCCCTCGTACCTCCTATACCCGGCCCGTATGGTTCAGCCCGTGTCTAAAATTGTGCCCAATAATGGCGAAGGGTATCGCACTGCCCAAGCTGATTTTTTCAACAATGTAGTCTATCAGCTACAGGATAAGACCAAGATCTACCCTAGTCCGTTCCCCTATAGTGAGATGAAGGGTTATAAAGCTGCAACATGGTCACTTATGGGTTTTGCTGTTTTGTTGCTGATTTTATTGATTGTGGTAATAGTCGTGTTGTGTTTCCGGCGCCAGAAGTCGAATGAATTGAAATTATTGCGAAAAACTGATAAAGAAATGGAGGAGAGATTTAATACCACGTAAAATAATTTTTGTGTTTTGTTTTTTTGTTTGTATTTATTATTTGTATGTTTGCATTTTTAAATTCAATCGTGTTTGTTTAATAACTAGAGACTAAATTAAGCGACAAGTTAACAATATATGCATAAATTTTGTAGTATCTGCTATTTTTCGGTTATTTTAATTACCCTGATATTTATTTATTTGTCTTAATCAATCTTGTTTAGTCTTAACATACCATCTTTGCATAATTTAACAATGTGTTTATTTATGATAATGCTATCCTTTTAATTTATTAAATTAATAACATAATTATTATTTTAATAGTAATATTATATAAATATTAATTGCTATTTATATTGTTAGAAATACATAGCACTTAACTAAATTATTTAATAACAATTATTTATTTTAAACATAATTTTTACATTTGTTTTACTTTTTAAACCAATTGTATTTTAATCACTTTTAACTAAATAATAAATTTTATACTACTTTCTTTCCTAATAAATTAATTTATTGTCAATCACATGAATTAATTACTTAATCTTATGTTATTTATTTATTTTTATTTTGCAGATCATATGAATCGGAAAAACTTTAAAATCAAAAATTATATAAACTTGTAATTTGTTAATAATTATTAAAAAAACATTCCAATTACAATCATACAACTCACATTATTCAAATATTATTGTATTCATGTTATTCATATTCATTTTTATAAGATTTAAATATAAATTATAAACAAAATTATTAAATAAAATATATAATTAAATAAAACCAAATAATAAAATAAAAATCAGCAAACTTATCTTAATAATTTACAAAGTTTTGTTATTAAAATATTATAATACAACTAATAGGTTAATCAATTTGCAAAACATTAATTATTTGTGTAAAATGATATTATTTTGAAACATCATGGTTTATAAAATTGTGAACAATTTCTTTCTATTAATTCCATTTAATTAATATTTTATCAATTTAGTTTTGTAAAATATAGTGCAATGATTTAAGTTACAGTTTATTGGGTAAAAACAAACAATGTAATTAACCAAATTCAGTTTCAATGCATAAATGGCCAACAATTGTAATTGGTAAAAATGATTTTTGTGTTTTGTTTTTTGTATTTATTATTTGCATGTTTGAATTTTTAATCGTGTTTGTCTAATAACTAAATTAAGAGACAAATTAACCATATGTGCATTATGCAGTGCATTGATAGTGAAGTATCTAATTTTAATTGTTTTAATTACCCTGATAATTTTTGGCAATTATTTATTTATTTTTCTTAATCATATAGCATTTGTCAAGTTTTTAGTAGATTACTAATTTTATTTATTTAGTTACATTACATTTGTTGATATTTAACCTAACTGAGAAAATATATAATTTTACAAACTGGCATTTAAAATAAAGGCAATTTTAGTTTACTATATTGGTTCTAGAATAACTTTTTATGGATTGCACCCAAAAACGGATGTTATTTTATTTTATTTAGTAAATACTTTTTTTCTAATATTACTTTAAACACTATGCTATATTTGTTAGTAAATTACATTTTAGTTTTTATTTATAAATGGCAGTATATTTATGAAGAATTATTTTTAATTAAAAATAGTTTTACAAAGTTTAATTGAAAATAAATGCACTTTAAATTTAACATAAAATGTTTATAAAGTTAGTTAATTTAAGGCGTCTACATTATGGATGAAAATACTATATTTTACCTTAATCCATGACTATTTTTAATATGTTATATCTATTTAACTATTATTAAATAGTTTAACCAATACATTAACAAACATTTTATCACCATGTTTACACAGCGTATTTCAACTCGGCCATATCAATTGATGGCACAGTATTCACACCATGGGCATTTAAGGACAACCTTACAAATTTTGTATGTTTGCATTTTCTAATTTAATCGCGTTTTTTGTTTTTTTAATGAAAAATATTTTTAATTTTAAGTATATTTTCATATGATATATTTATTTACAAACTGACATTTAAAATAAAAGCAATTTGTATTTGCTATATTGATTCTAACATAATTTTATTATGGATCGTATCGACCAATCTGATTATTTTACTTTATTTAGTAAGTATTGTACTTTATTATTAATATTATTTCAAATATGCTATATTTATGCTTTATCAAAGTATTGTACAAAATAATTATTAAGATAATATTGCGGCTGGTGGTGGCCAGGAGTATCAGAATGATCAGATTTTGGTTGAGGTGAGATTTGTAATTTTGGTATTTTTAGATTTGTGATTTTGCAAACTGTCATAAAATATTTATTTAACATTTAATTAATATATAGAACAAATAATGTTTTATTAATTGGAATCGATTCACCTTCTAACAATTAAGTAAATCTAATTTAATTATATAAAAACAAAATTTTTATTTAAAATATTTAAAATATTGAGTGGTTTTTCAATTCTAATTAACAAATCAATATTTTTTTGTTTGATTAAAATTATATATAAAATTGTATACTTTACAATACTTATATAACCATACTAATTTTTAAATATATACACATTTTTAATTAATTCATTAATGTAATAGTGTTTTAATTTTATGTTAATGCTCTAATAAACTTAAGTACAATAATTGCCAAATAGTTAATTAGTTAAATATATGTTAATTAAACGTTAAATAGTTTCAATGGTAAAGATAGATTACAAACTTTACTAATTGTTTGCATTATTTTGGTAATACTACTACATACATTGTATGTGTCAAGCGGATTAATTAAACTATAATAATCCGGTGGTAAACACGGCTAACGGACCCGTACGGGGCCTACCATACCTTTACACGACTACAACAAACAATGCACACAAACAAGTGGTAGCCTTCCCACCGGCTTTGGTCAGTAAAGTGTAAGTTTTATTTCGTTTAATTAATTTTTTTAATAAACACTTTTAATAATTTTTAGATTTAAAAATTTAATATAATTTAGCTCAATACTTAATTAAATAAAAATAGTTTAAAAAGTATTTATAATTAAAATGTATTTAATAGAAAGAATTTTGTTTATAATGCTACTAGATTGTAACATAAACATGATTATAATGTTGAAACTAGTTTATTATACAATAAGTTAACATGAGGTGTTAGAAGTTTTCGAATATTTTAACTTTTAATGAGATAAATAAAATGTAACATTTTTAAAGTTGACATTAATTTTAATAATTTGTTTATTTACCTGTTTGGTGGCACATAATAGGCTTTTTGAGTACGGATGACGTGAATATACCGGGACATAGCGGTATTAGGGATCAGATACAGGGGTTGCGCTGGATTAATAATAATATCGCTCAATTCAATGGCAACCCCCAGAATGTGACCATCATAGGACACGATGCCGGTGGTATATCCGTGTCGATGCACGTGCTCAATCCAGCCGCTTGGCGTATGTTATTACCATGTTTATAATTATTTTTATTGGTGGTGCTTGTGTTGTAATTTAGTTGTATTTTGTAAAACAACTTAACAATTACTTCTTCAATTAATATATAACATTTGTCAAGTTGTTAATAAGTCACTAATTAATTTTAATAATTAGTTGTTTATTACATTATATTTTAAATATTTAAACATATGAAAAAAATGTATAACTTTACAAACTGACATTTTATATTAAGGCACTTTTAGTTTACTATATAAATTATATTATAATTTCCTTATGGCTCTCCTTCGACAGCTCTACTATTTTATTTCGTAATTTACTTGATTGCTAATATTACTTCAAACAATATACCGGTACTATATTTATTAATAAACTATGTAATTTATTTAATATTCTCTATTATCTATAAATTCATAATATTTGTGAATTATTATTTTTAATTAAAAATATCTATACTTTAAAATAGTTTTACAAACTGTAATTGAAATTGAAAGCATTTTTAGTTTAACATAAAATGATTTTAAATTGTGTGATTTAAGGTCCAGTTATAATTGATGGAAATGTTTTATTATTATTTTTTAAATTATTATTATTTGAATTGTTATATTTGTTTAACTATTATTACAAATTTAACAATAAATTAACAAACATTTTATCACCATATTTACACAGCATAGTTCAACTCGGCCATATCAATTGGTGGCACAGCATTCACACCATGGGCATTTAAAGGCAACCCTAAAGATCAAGCCATGAATTTTGCCGACTTTTATGGCTGCGATCAGCGGTCGGACAAAATGCTTGACTGACTCCGGGGTCAGGACAGGAACGCACTGAT